TTCCGGACCAGGATAATCCCATACTCCCACCTCCCATTTATTTGACAACCTGACCCATGCAGGAGTTTTCTGCAGCATTTTCCACAGTGGGAATTCCAGGCCCAAGGTGGGCACATCCCCAGGGATCACTCCTTTCACATGGCAAGGCCAGGCTCAGGTTGTTGTGCTCCCCCAGCAGCAGAGCCCAGCCTTTGACCCGCTGGGACACGCACGCCAGGCGTGGGCACCCAGCGGATTTAGCTCCGGGCACTGCAGCAAACGGAGGGGAAAAATCCCTGACGTGATGCCCCGGAGAGAAATCTGGGGTTTATGTTCCTTCACAGGGCAGAAAATGCTGAGATCTGCAGCTGCAGCACAGGCAGAGCCCCGGGGCAGGATTGGGCTCTGCTCAGCACCTGCCCATTCCAGAGCATTTCCTCCCCTCTGAGCCCGGCACAGCCACAGAATTCCAGTGAGAGGCACAGGCAGAGGAGCCCAGCTCTCTCTGTAGAGCCAAAATGCTGGAATTCTTCCATCTCCTGCCCCACAGAGCCAGGGCCTAGCCCTGGACCAGCAGCTGCTGCCTTCCCAGGCTSCCTTCTCCACGGGCTCCCTCTTCCCAGTCCAACTCCAATCATCAAAGGGAAAAGTTGGAATGAGCACAACAAAACTGAGTGAAATCTCAAAAGGTTTTGGGGACATAGCTGCCATGGAAGGCACTGTGCTCTGGACAGCTTCCACAAAATTGYTGAGCTTGGAAAAGCCTTCCAAGACCATCGAGTCCAGCTGTTCCCCCACCACTGCCCCGTGTCCCCAAGTGCCACATCCACAGGGCTTTTAAACCTCTCCAGGGATGGGGACTCCCAATCTGTGTCAGCAGCACTTTCAGTGAAGAAATTTTCCTCAATATCCAATCTAAATCTCACCCCTGGCACAACTTGAGGCTGTTTCCTCWCTGGGAGCAGAGCCTGGATCCCACCTGGCTGCCCMCTCCTGCCAAAAAGTCTCCCCTCAGCATCCCAATGTCTCATCATTCACTCCCAGGCCTGGAAGCCCAAGTGATGATCTCAATCTCCACAAAATAAATCCATCTGTGGAAAGCACAAAGCAGGAGTTGGAGATTTCCCCGTGCTGTCGTTACCTCCAGCCAAGCCCCATCCTGCTGCCAGGTGCCTTCCTGCTGCAYTTCCTCTGGCTCAGCCTTAATTATTCATTTCCTGACATCCTTTCACTCAGAAAGATCTCACCAATCCCTAAAAACTGCTTTTTCCATTTGTTTGGTCCATGGCACCGTGGGCACCCACAGTGTCAGGTGACACAGCTGAAAATATTTCCATTTCCTGCTTTTAACATCCTCTTTTAAGCCGTGAATTAACTTCAGGTCTCTCCGTGGAAGCGAAAATTCCTTCAGGGAAACGGATCCCAGCAATCCTTCTGTAACATCTCCATGTTGCCACCACGTGGTGGGATGGCTCCTTTCTTTATCTCTCCTCATGGCTTCATCACCTCTTCCACAACTCTCTGGAGTGAATTTAGAGCAGCCCTTTGCGACATGTGCTCCAAAACTCTTTTTAAAAATACTTWAAAAAWAATAAAATCTATTTAAGCACWCCYAGATCAGAGCAGATCTGTCTGGAACAGCGTGAGGAGCATTAACTATTAGTACTWATTATCCTAAACTCCTAATTATCCTAAACAAAAGCAAAGAGTGATGGCCCSGAGCTCCTCCCGAGGCAGGAACAGCCTCACCTGCTCATTCCCCACCCTGATCCAGCCCAAATTTCACCYGGCTCCACCCGGCTTCTCCCTTTTCGGGCTGCGCAGGAGACAAACCAGGCATTTTCAGCGAGCACAGGAGAGATTTCAATCAGGAAATCTTGCAAAAATACTGATTTGAAAGGTTTTTTTAGGGTGCCTCTGCTGAGGTGCTGCTGAGGCAGCCTCTCTCTCCCAGCGAGGTCTCACTACACCACCCCATGGTGGTTGGAGCTTCAGTCCCGGAATTCCAGAGGAGCATCCAAAAAACARCTCCTCCCACGGGGGCAGCAGCTCCGGGCAGGGTTTGTTGTTGAGAAAACAGGCAGAAAACTCCAGGGAAAGCTTTGATCCTTGACAGGGGAACCTCGGCTGCGGAGGGGATGGATGGGAAGGGGATGATGGATCATTCTCGCTGAGGGCTCTGACAAGCGATGCATCAACCTGACAGCTCCGTCACCACACCCATCACCGTGAGCGAGCTAAAAATACACAAATCACACCCAGGGAGTTCTCTCTGAACAGGAGAGATTGAGKGAATCTTTGGCTTTTGTTCCTCGTCACGCAGAGATTTCATTGATGGGCTCTCTGCTCACAACAGATCCTTCAGCAGCTTAAAAATGGAGTGGAATTTTAATATTCCCCAATATTTTCCTAATATTTGGGAGTCAAATATTAGGAAGAATTCCTTCACACAAAGGGAGAGAGGAAGGGAAGGAGGGAAGTTTTAAGCAAGGAAAAGTGAGGGGAAATGGCAGGTTCAGACAGAATCTCTTCTAAAAATTCACTGAATTAATCAAGGTAAGGAGTTTGAAAGGGAAACAAATGGTGGTCCAAGAGTGGACAGCAGGGAATCAGCCAAGGAATAAAATTCAGGGAAGGACTGAAGGTGTTGCTGTCCAGGTCAAACCAAAAYTTTCCCATGATGCAAACAAGGAACAAGACAGGAGACACAATTCCCTCTGCTGAAAGCAAAGAAACCTTAAAACTGAGATTGTACTTTGATGTTTCTAAACCACTGCTAAACACTGAAATTTCTCCTTTCCCATCAATGTCATAACTGAAATCACTGATTTCCAACCCAAACCTGAGGCTGSCTTTGGCAACTGTTGACCAACTGTCAACAGCTTCCAGTGTGTTCTTGATTTCTCATTAGGCCACTCCCAACCAATTTAATATCAAAAAATACTTCAGGTTGACTTTTTTCCTTCTTTTTTCCTTCTGAGTGTGACTTTTTTCCTTGTTTTTTCCTTCTGAGTGTGACTTTTTTCCTTGGGGTTTTTTTTTCCCTCTGCTGTTACTTCCTGTTGGATGTAATACATTGAGCGGAAAAGGAGGGGAGTGAGGTTTGTGTGAGCATCCACTGGGGAATTATCTATTCCTTACTCCTGTTGAGATGGAAATAAGAGTGTAACTGCACTTTTCCAGAAAATTCCACGCATTCAGAGCTGCCAGATCCTCACCAGCCATTCCCAAGGGTGAAGATGGAAGGAAGAGAAGGAACAGGCACTGGGCTCAGCACTGCTCTGAGCATTCCCTGTCTGCATTTGTCTCTCCCCATGAAGCTTTTTTCACTTCAGAGATCCCTCAAGTTGGAATTAAGCTTCCCACTCCAAGGTTAATCCCACAGCACTGATCCTTTCAGCTTTGGGGTTGGTTGCACCGTGTGGGAGGGTCAGGGGAGGAGCCCATCTGCAGCTCCACCACCCCTCACACACATTTTACACAACTCCAAAAAACAGTCACCAAAAAATGCATTTTAAAMGTAATTTGTCAACTCCAGCCTAGAATTTTTGCAACACAAGAACACATTTTATTAACATTTCTGGCTAAGCCTGGCACGAGTGAAAGCTCCTTCCCAAATCACTGGAAGCATCTATCAAAATGAGACACCCGACCAAGTCTTGACTAAAAATCACTTAGTGCAACTTTAGTTTGAATTATTATTGGAACCTGACTTCTAAAAAAACTTCTAAAAACATTTTTAGCTGCAGGGTTACAATTTTTATCCATGGAAGAAGCTGTTTCATTACTAAGCAGCAAGAACCTGACCAAAAAAAAAAAAAAGAGACACAAACACAGGAATCCAAAGCTGGTGGTTATTTTTTACTTGAAAACTCTCTGAAAAACAAATTATTGTTACAGGTCATTAATTCCTTCTGGAATCAAACAGGCCTGGTCTAGGTGGTGATATGGAAAGAGCAGTTTGATTTTTACAAAACTGATACTCAAGCAACATCAAAACACAGAAAGGACAGGTTCTTAAACTAATGTTACATTGCTCAGCCTCAGTAAACATCTTTGGAATAGAGATTTAAAAAAAAAAATAAATCAAGGAACTTAAATATTCACAGGACAAAACCATAATATGAAGGGAGAGATCAGCAAGCACAGGCTGCCCATGGCTAATCCAAGCAGGAGTTGCACAAAGGGGCTGGATTCCAGCAGCTGGGAACACTCAGCCCTAGGAGGCAGCTTTGGGATTTGGTTACRAGCCTAAGGCGGGGAGAAGTGAGCAGCAGGCAGAGGCAAAAGGTAAATTAATGCTGGAAGTTCTTGTTCAACCAGGAGCCTACAAAGGAAAGGCTGGGTGTTGTTTTAAAATGARAAGTTAGCCAAAAGTCATCAGGGTGCTCTCTCTATATTGCACAAAGTTCGGTTGTAACTGAAAAATGAGAAACTCCTGCACTCAGAAAAGCAACATTTAAATATATCCCAAGYGGAGTGAGAACTGATAGCTCAGCTTTTAAAACAATTCAATGTTTTTTCCTAACAGCTACAACATTTCTGTCTTCTCAAGCCCTCTCCAAACTGAAAAACACCATTGATCAAAGGCAGTGCTACTACTTCTCCTTATTTCATTTATTGCTTTATTCACGAGTGACAAAGGCTAAGAGATCAAAACTTTTAGAGAATTTAAGGCAATTCCACAAATCAAACACCTTAAGGGCATTTCTGGCACACAGTGCTCTTCACTCCAACACCAGGAGAGGATTTATCTTTAAAAAAGKATAGGGACACTCAGATTTTAACAAAAAAAACTCTCTGAAACGTCAGTTTATCTTTCTAACACACAGCACTTAAGCCCAGTCATTTCAGAGCACCAGCACAGAGAAAAGACAAAGAGAGAAGAAGCCAGATAAATAATTTAGAAAAAAAACCCACTAAATAACTACAAATAAAAACTAAATACTAAAAAACACTAAATAACTACAAATAAAACTTGAAACAAACTACAACTACAAACTTAAAACTACAAACTTAAAACCCACAGCTGAACAAAAAAAAAATCAGGAACAGGTTTGTCAAAAAAATCTAAATGTGCTCAGTATTAGGCTCATTCTTCCCTTGCAAAAACTTTGGAATTTAATTAAGAGAATATGGAAAACTCTTTACAACATTGGTCCAATGGACATGTGCATTCTTTTTATTTCTATACAGAGTGAAAACCAATACCATACAGACAAGAGTAAACTACATTTTTTAAAGAAAAAAATAARGTTTAATGTTCCAAAATGGTTTTGTGAAAACAGGAAAAAAGGAAAGTTTCTGTCAAATTGTTTCAACTTCAGGACAGGTACAGCCTGCATGGATTTGCAGTAAGATTTGACTAAGAAATGATGGATTAAAAACAAGCAGAGTCCTGCTGGCACCCAGGAGGAGGAATGGAGAGGATTTGCACAGAGGACCCTGCGTGTAAACTATTCCCACRTGGAATCATAGAGACAGACAAGACTTCAAGGTGCTACTTGTCATTTGTTCCTAGAGAAAAACTACTTTGCCAAGAAGCTCWCAGGGTTTTCTACAGCCTTTTCTGGAAGATGCAAACAGCAGGTTCCTGGTCAGCCAGAGAATCCCACTATGGAGTGTTTGTGCTAAKTTCCATCAGCTCTTTGTAAGAAAAAGGATTGGGGGGTTTGTAGCACTCATTGTCATAGCAAAAAGCAGTTTTTGTCACATAGAAAGCCTAAACTAAAGGAACTTTAGTCCCATAACTAAAGGAACTTTTCCCCTCAGCATTTCTTCAGGGCACAACTAGAGATTTATACTAAGGAAACAGTATAAAAACAGGGAACCCTTTTGGAATGCTTCACCACCAACCAGGTCAGTGCATTTTCCTTGCTAACAATCCCTAACGCAACAAGTATTCTSGTTTACATTTTCTTCAACAAAATCCCTGGGGAACAAGTCCTTCCAGAAGCCACAGCAATTCTTGGCACTTCTCTGCACACAGACAGGAGAAGTTACAGCCATTTGCAACAGCAATTTTTCCTTTTCAAAACCTGATGCCAAAGATGCTTTTTTAAAAAAATTTCCTCTGAATTCATGAAATGCAGCAACGTTATCACGCCAGGAGTCATTCTTCTCTTCAAGCTGAAGGATTTGACACAGATCTCCCTTTGAGTGGATGACTCAAACACTAATCCTGCWTGCAAATGCAGCTAAGATTTATCCAGGGGAGCAGCAGTGGTCACGGGGCGCTGCCGGACAGCACTTGGTGATGAGTCTCTCTTGTTGCCCTCCTTACCCTCTGTGTCATCATCTGAGATATCTCCCTCATCTGCTTCCTGCTCTTCATAYCTGTTTTTCAGCAGCTGAGCTGACTCTGGGCCTTGTTTTCCTCAAGGAGAAAGGAAAAATACACAATAAATCCCATTCCCAAGTAAAATTCACTTTTTTAGCATCACGGGCAAGCACAGCAATACTGAGAGCTCCAATCAATTATCTCTCCCTGCCCATGTGGAATTTCACGTCTTGAAAGTATGAAAATGTTATCAAAACATTTTTCAATCCCTATAACCATTTTTTAAAAATACTTCAGTTTACAGAATAGAAAATACTATWAACCCTAAGGGCAAGGCACCAATTCCAAATGCAAAGCTCAATCTCACATCCTGCAGACTCCAATATTTCTTTCATAAGAATCCTTTTCATAAATGAGATTTACCAAAACAGTTTCACTGAATGAAAGGTTTGCTGTGGGCTTACTTGACTGAGAGTGRTACTGTGGTGGTCTGTGCCTTTTGGAGGGACAGATGCAGTCTGCCAGGAACACCATCATCTGAAACCAAAGAAATCCAAGCTGAAATATTCCAAATATTCTGCACACTGGAATCATTGAGGCTGGAAAAGACTTTTAAGATCAAGTCTAACCATTTACCCTTGGRTGGATCCCTTTGGATTATGGAGGTTCATCCTGCCCCACATCCCTGCATCCCAGCTCAGGGTACCCCAAATTCCCACCCCAAAACTGAGGTGAAGATAGCACAAGTGTAACACAATCAGTCCCAAGGGCTTTACTTACAAGTCCCAGGATCATTCCTAAGAACAGAATTGCCAAACCAAAAACAGCATAGGAGCCCCAGACTGGTATTCCAAGACTTTCTGTTAAGTAGCCATGGCCATGCTGGAATAAAAGACAAGAGAATCATTTCAGGAACAGCTCAATATCATATTGAGGATAAAATAAAGTAGAGATGTAAGCAAATACCCTGATCCACATGGACAACTTGAACAAGGCTGACATGCTGCTCATCCTGAAACAAAGCAGAGAAGAGTAACTGAGAACRCCTTCAAGTCAGTCTCAAATCTGTGTGAAACAACCTGAGCTACAAATTCACAAATTTCTTGAACTTGGATCTGCTGACACATGAATTTCAAGTTACTTTTATGGTCTAAATTATATCTGGACCAATGGGCTGTGAGAAGCCAAATGGAACTCTATTCAAGAGATTAAGATTGAAGCATCAGAAGGTTTTATTAAAACAAAAAATTAAGCTATTAAAAGGAAATTAGATTGCAAGAGCTGAGAGATCTTCAGACACTTAAGTTCAGTGTCTGAATACAGAAAATAATAGAGACATTGTTAATGCTAAGTTAATAGCCCATTTCACACATCCTGGGTGTGGGATGATACTCATTTAGAATCCCAGAATGGTTTGGGCTGGAAGGGACCTCAAAAGCCCATCCCATTTCACCCCCTTCCACTGTCCCWGGGTGCTCTGATCCCTGTCCAGCCTGACCTTGGACACTTCCAGGGATCCAGGGGCAGCCMCAGCTTCTCTGGGCACCTGTGCCYCACCACCCTCCCAGCCAGGAATTTCTTCCCAACATCMAACTTAAATTTCCCCWCTGACASTTTGAACYCATTSCCCTTTCTCCTGTCACTGCAGTTCCTGATGCACAGTCCCTCTGTGAATTCCTTGTAGACCCCATCAGACACTGGAGGAAATTTCCTAGGATTTAGCTGGGCAAAACCCATCTCAGTGCCACACAACCCAAACAACTTCAAGGGTCAGCAAGTTCCCTACAAGAGCTTAGGAAACAGTGCAGTCACCAGCAACCACATGAAGCCTTAAAGTAAACCTTGCTGAGGACACCTCTGCTATGGTGACAATGCTGGGGACATCTCTGCTAGGGTGACAATGTTAGAGCACCTCTGCTACAGTGACAACACTCCCACGGCTGAGGAAGGATTAGGACACCCACCCACCCACCACATTCACACAGCTCCTGCCCACACAGGTGGGAAAAGGGAACAGGACACACCTCAGGACCTCTCCCAGCACATCTGACAACAAATTGTTACAAGAAACAAACCAAAACTTACAGGAAAGAGGAAGGACCAAACCAGGACGACACTGGTTCAATGGATTTCCATTCCTCGTCGCTGATGAAATTAATGAAGGCAGCTTTAGTCCTTGCTCCCTGGTATCTCCTGAACTCCCCATCTTTGCAGCTGTAAAACAACAAAATTTCCTTTATTTTATATGGTCCAAGCGCCATGTGCAGCATTTGTTTCCACCCAACAAATTCCCTCCCATCACCTTGACTATTTTTACATATTCACTTTTTCAGTGCTATTTTTTTTAGCTGATACTGCCTTTAAAATATTTCCCAAACACTTTGACTAACCCCAAGTTATTTCCAGAATATTGACTCCATTAATACCTTGGCTAGCTTTAGGCTGTGATTCCATTGAAAAAGAGATAATGATCTTCCTAAAGCCCTTGCCACACACCTGTACTAAAGATCAACCTACAGAAAAACGATTGCAAAACAGAAACACCCATGAAAAGGYGGAATAAATAAGGCCTGAAGGGAAAGGAAAAGAAATCATTTGGCAGCACAAGGTCACAGCTGATAAGGCAGTGGCTGTGGCAGTGAAAAGTAGCTCCCATTCTTAAAGAGCATAATAAACCTCCTTTATTTGTCCCAAAAAAAAGAGGGAAAAATGCCCACTCTCACCCCAAAAATATCCTGCTGTGTTGCATACTTACTGATAGATGGTAGGAAGAGCTGTGATGATAAATCGTCCACTTAACCCTGTAAGAAAARGTATTTTGGGAATATTTTGAGTATTTTTATGGAAAAAAAAGGAAGCAAGAAATGTTGTAACCCCCCAAAATACAACGGCAGCCTTCAGTATCAATCTTTCAATGCAATCCAATACAACTTTGTGCATATCAAAACACTACACACAGCCAAAAAGAAAGGTTCCTGGATGAGGAGCAAGGAAGTTTATCCACAAGGGAAAAAGAGATGTCCAGGGATGACTCCTCTATTGGACTGTTCTGGATGTAGGTCTGGACAGGGATATGMTCTCCTTCACACACATGATCTGCAGCCTCCAGAAACTCAGAATAATCCAAGTGATGCAAGTTTCAAAAGTTAAGTGACTCTGGAGAAAGAGATCAGCATGGAGAAGGCCATGTTTACAGATCCCACACAGACAGGAAAGTTTCAGGAGAGTTTCAACAGGAGGAAAGCAGACTGTTTGCACCTCCTTCTGCCAACCAAGGCAGGGACCACTGTGGGAAGGCTGAAACCTTGTTTTTTTTCTTAAAAAGTATAGCCAAAAATCTCCCTGATATCTTCCAAATCATGCTCTGGAGAAAACCTCTAATTCCTTTCATCTATTATAGTCTATCCATTTTATTTTTGCTGTTTATTCAATCATATCTATTTTATCTGTCAGTCTCCTCCCTGTGAGGAGAGCTGGAGGCCCCAGTGTGAAACCTGCCCAGAGAAGCTGYGGCTGCCCCATCCCTGGCAGTGTCCAAGGGCAGGTTGGACAGGACTTGGAGCAACCTGGGATAGTGGAAGGTGTGGTAGGGGGTGGAATGGGATGATATTTAATGTTCCTCCCAACCAAAACATTCTGGGATTCTATTAAGCAAGATTAGGGTGTTTAGTCACACAGCAGTGYGCCTTTGGTAGAGATGAGTAAACGGCTTTTATTATTCCCCATTAGTTCTGTTTACCTCTGAAAAGAATAAAAAAGTAGTGTCTTTACAAACAGACTCTGACTCTAGAGTGAGATAAGGATGATATTAAGAGAAAAAAAAATAAAAAAATAAAAAAGATTTGCATAAAAATTCCACCGATTAGCTTACCCCAGTCTATATTAATAGACTACCTGAACAGAAACACAGAAATATATATTAAAAAGGAGCAATATATAATAGAAAAAGTTTCATCAAGCGTTTCAGAGAACCTGTAACTTTCAAGTACCTCAGCCAATAGAGAAAGAGAAAGAAAACTGCAGCCGAAAAATTAAAATAAAAAGAAGCTGCATCCCCTATGAATTTGAGAGACCCCATAAGAAATACCCATGACCTCTCCCTTTATTCATAAATAAAGTTACAAAACTCCTCTATCTCCATTTTAAACATAAACCTCTAGTACTTATAAATTAATTTTCCTAACACCTCCCACAAGCACACACCGGGGATGAGCAGCCCCCCGATCCCTCAGCACCCCAAATCCCGGCGGGGTCAGGAGCCCTTTCCAGCCCCTCTCACCCGGCTGCTCCGTSACATCCACTTTGGCCACGTTCACCCCCAGGTCCTCTCCCCACTCGGCGAACTTCTCCCACTCGGGCTGCAGGCTCTCGCAGGCGGGACACCAGGGCGCGTAGCTGTGGGAGCAGCACAGCCCCGTCACCACACACCCCTCACAGCCCTCACGCCACCCCTCAACGCGCCGCTCCCCACTCACAACTCCACCATCCACTCGTCCTGGAGCAGCTCCCGCCACATTCCGTCCGACAGCACCTTCACGGGGCTCGGTCTGGCCCAGGCGGCGGCGGTCAGAGCCAGGCACAGCAGAGCGGAGAGCGGAGCCCTCAAAGCGCAGAGCGGCCGCCTCAGCGCCGCCATTTTCACCCCCCCTTTCCGCCTTCCCGCCGCGTCATGGCCGGACCCGCCCTCAGGGAGAGGAGAGGCGGGCTCGGGGAATCTGCCATGGTGGGGATTGGAAGGGAGCTAAAATCGCGGCTCTTTCCACGCCCCGCCGTGGGTAGGGAGGTTTTATACTGTCCCACGTTGCTTCAAGTCCTGTCCAATGTGGTTTGGCCTCCAAACCCAGTTTGGCGTTGTGGGTTCAAGGGATCCCGGGGCAGCAGCTGCTTCCTGAACACTCGCACCAACACGGGGTGAGGGGATCGGGGGAATCTGGGAGGTGGATTCCAAAGCTGGGCCATGAGGAGCTAAATATCAGAGAAGCATGGAATGGTTTGGGTTGGAAGAGACCTCAAAGGTCATCTCATTCCACCCCGTGCCATGGGCAGGGACACCTTCCACTGTTCCAGGTTATTCCAAATCACATCCAGCCTGGCCTTGGGCACTGCCCAGGATCCAGGGGCAGTTGCCGCTTCTCTGGGCAACCTGGGCCAGGGCCTTCCCACCCTCACAGAGAAAGATTTCTTCGACATGTATTCTAAATAACCCTTCTTGCAATTTGTACCCATTATTCCTTATCACCAAATCATTGAGGTTGGAAAAGATAATCCGAGGTCATTTAGACCAACCTGTACCTGATTGCCACACTGTACCCAGCCCAGAGCTCTCTGTCCAGGCCTTYCTTGGACACCTCCAGAGATGGGGACTCCAAACCTCCCCAGGCAGCCCTTTCCAAGGCCTGACAATCCTTCCTGTACAAAAATTCTTCCTAACACCCAACCTAAACCCTTCCTGACATAGTTTGAAGCCGTTCCTTCTCCTCCTGTCCCTGTTCCCTGGAGCAGAGCCCGACCCCCCCGGCTGTCCCCTCCTGTCAGGGAGTTGTGCAGAGCCACAAATCCCCCCTGATCCCCCTTTTTTCCAGGCTCAGCCCTTTCCCAGCTCCTTCAGCCCCTCCTGGTGTTCCAGACCCTTCCCCAGTTCCATTCTCTGGACGCTCTCCAGCCCCTCAGAGTCCATCCCAAATTTTGGGGAGATTGGTTTCTGGGCTGGGAGTGCACACTGCTGGCTCACGTTGAGTTTTTCATTAACCATCCATAACTCCCAGTCTTTCTCTGCAGGGCTGCTCTCAATCCCTTCTCCATCCATCCTGTCTGGGATTACCACGGCCAGAGCAGCTCAGGGGTTCCTCTCTGAGGAAAATCCTGCTCTCTCTGTCACCCCTGGGGTCATGGAGGGCAGCCACAGCTTCCCCCTGTTGCTGCCCAGAGAAGCTGTGGCTGCCCCTGGATCCCTGGAAGTGTCCAAGACCAGGTTGGATGGGATTTGGAGCACCCTGGGATGGTGGAAGGTGTTCCTGCCTATGGCAGAGGGTTGGAACTGGTTGACCTTTAAGGTCCTTCCAACCCAAAGCATTCCATGATTCTTTGATCTTTAGTTACTTACAGCAGAAGGTAACAGCACTTGAGTGCTCAATTCTCAAGCAGAAGTCAGCGAGAAGGTCACTGTTAGCAAGCAGACAAATCTGACATCATCTCGCTCCTGTCTCTCAGAACCTGAAGCAGTTCCAGGGTAGGAACCTCTTTTTCCATATGCATATACTTTCTTTACCACAAATTTTTCCCCTCCTTCTTGCTTTTTCCTTCTCAGGAGCAGCTGTGATAACGTCACCTTCCCCTTCCTGCCTGGATAATTTCTTTCCCTGCCCCTTTGCCATAATTTCATATCCCACAGTTCAGAGCCTTTGGCAGCCATTGAGTGGTGTAGGAAAAAAAAGAATAAATCAGCTTTGGGTTTGTTTTTTTTTTTAAATTTTATCTTATTTTGGCAACTTTTCTGTAGTACAAYGTGTATGTTCCTTTCTGTAGGAGAACAGGCATTATTAAGGACTTGTTATTCATTGATTCAGCACTCAGGAATAAATCACTGCTTGCTGCACTCTGCTGACTGCTGTTTTAGGCATAATTGAATTTTTGAAATTTGTTATTGATAATCCATGAATATTCTGTTCTGCATCAGCAATGAGGTGAAATGCAAAGAGMTGTCYTCTGGGTAACAACTGGACTCAGTRATCCTAAAGGTCTTTTCCAACCTAAACAGTTTTGTGAATTCTGTGCTTATCCCTGATAATTTCAGATGTGTTGAGGGTTAAGTGCATAACATAAAAAGGTGTTGTGTAACCATGTGTAAATAAATTTACCGCTGTGAATAAAAGATCTCTTCAAAGGCACACCGAGCTCCCTATGGGAACAGCTTGAAAGACCCTGAAAATTATTACTTCATCCCTCCCCTGCTCGRTTCCAGGAATTATTTTAAGTGTAATGACTGCTCTGAATTACTTTTATCTCGATTATTAATATTACATGGACTTTGTCTCGTTTCTTCGTAAAGTTTTGAGAACAAGAAAGCCTTGACCTTATCTTTGAGGCATCTTCCTCCAGCCTGTTCCCCTCAGCCTTCCCAAGCTGACAGGAGAAATATCTGCCTCATCTTTCAAGGTTCACAGCAGAATAAAGAGAGTTAATAGCCAAGTGACCTCAAGAAAGAAACGCATTTTTCATCTTTTTTTTTCCATGTTCTTTTTCAGCGCTGCCACAGAGAGGCAGAGTTGAGGCTGCTTCTAAAGGGAAAGAGGGAAAAAAGAAAATCCTTTTGGGTTAGAAATTACCTGGATTTCCTGCTGGGGACACCCCATCACCTTCCAAGGTGTTGATGTGGAAGGTTTTTTCCTTGTCCAAGAACTCGTGGTTGAGTTTGTTTTTCTAAGGTAAAGGGGATTTTCTGGTCAGTTTAAACCTTCCCACCGACACACAACCACAAATTGATCAAGGTTGGGGTTACAAAAATACCACCACCAAAGTGCCTTTAAATTTCATGAAAAGAATTGTTCATTTAAAGTGAGCACTAGTGATGCACAGGAAGAAGCACAAGCCCAGATAATTGTTTGACAGMGGGAAAATTATGAATATCTGAACCTGCTCTAGTGGAAGCTGTCCCTGCCCATGGCAGGRGCTTGGAACAAGGTGGATTTTGAGATACCTTCCAACCCAAACCATTCTGGAATATGTTTTCCTCACCACAGAGCTGTTGGACTTTGCTACAGGATGCAGGATGATGAAATAAGGAAGGCCTGTGTCATCAAGAAATCATCTTTTCTTGATGATGTCTCTGCCTTATAACATCAAATCCCACAGGTAGGAGCAGAGATGGAAAGACTCAGCTTCCTTTGGGCTTTGCTTTCTTTTGAGCTGAAAATAAAGACTCAAATACTTGAACGTCTCAATGTTGTCCCCAAAGTTAAAGCCACAGAGATGAACAAATTGTACAAATTCAATCCATTCTGTAAGTGCTCAAAACCATTTTAAAAAATTGCACACAAATTGACTCACTGGGTTTTTAGTTTTTTTTGCAGAATGTTGATTCACTTATATTTAAAATGGAAATAAATGAAGCAGTTCTATTTTTCCTTATTTTATTTTCTTCCCTCTRTTTTTTAAGCACCTTTACGTGTCCTGAGGATGAGCTGAACACTAAACCAGATAAATGAGCTGCAGGAGCCCAGCACTTGCCCAGCTGGGGCTGACCTTTTGAAGGACCACTTGAAGAGAGCAGAGGGTTGGCCAGGTAATGATTCCAAGCTCTGCAGTCCCTGGATCAGGTACAGCATCAGAGCCCTGACCTCATTTACAGCTCCTGCATTTATGAAATGCCAGGAGATTATGCAGAGAGCTTTCCTGAGTGGGATCATGTGAGGTAGGAGACATGAAGTCATCGTCCTAAAGCCCAAGGTGAAGTCAGGTTGTCCCAAAAAGTCCCAGCCAGGCTTGGAGCTGCATTTTGTAGTGCTGCAGGAAAAAAAAAAAAAAAAAACTGATCTTGCCGAATTTTTTCAGGTGGTTTTGCTAAAGTAAAGGGGGTTTTGTGGTCCCATTAACACACAACCACAGTTTGATCAAAGATGGGGTTACAAAAATACCAAATGTCTGTGCATTTCATKAATTGTCCAGTTAGAGTGAGCTGTTTGTCCTTTGGGGATTGTTCATATCTAGAACTCCACTCAGAGCAGTTTTCTGGGTTTCAGCATTAGAAGAATAAAAATCAAGACGTAATTATTTCTCTATAGCTCTGGATTTCATTCCAGGAATGCTTTTTTTCCTCAGAAAAATCCTGTATTTCATGGGAAATAATTCATCCCTRCCTGCCTGAGCTGAAGCCCACAGAGGTGCCAGTGACTCCCAAGGAGCCAAGACTGGGCTTGGACATTCCCCACTGCCCATGGCTGGGAAGGATTAGCAGAACCCCCTTCTCCTGCTTGGAAAAACCCCACTGGAAAGCACATTCCCATCCAACAACCCAGTCCTTCTGCTCCACAGCACCTGAGCTGCCTCAGCAAAGCTTCGCTGTGTTCAAGGGTTCAGGTTTTTGGGAGCCTCAGTGGGAGCAGAGAGTTCCCCAACCTCATCTCTGCCATTACACAATCAGTTTGCTGCTTCCCACTTTGGAAAACCATTTGGAAGACCTGGGGATTATTCTCACAATCCTCTCTGTGCTAAGAAACCCCAGTAACTGCTAATTATTCTGTAATTAAGTGTCTCTCTGGGGTCRTAATTGTGAGCGTGGCCTCGCCCCRTCTCTGTGTGCTCRTTAGGCAGCAGTTTCCTCAATGCCCAAACAAATTCTCTCTTTTCCATTTGATTGGATTACAAAATTGCTTTAAACTCTGTGGAGATGATTAGGAAAAGTGTGGCTCTGCGCAGGAGTTTCCATGGGAACTAAAGTCGGGAGAGATCGTTGTAAACCAGAAGTCARGCAGATTGTGTTTCAGACAATTAATATTGTCTCATTCATTTGCTTTAACTCTTCTGTGCTTTGTTCCAAAGTAGTTTTTATCTCTTTTTCCATATCGAATGCTGTCTCTGGTTCTGCTCCCTTGAGGTTTCATTTCTCATTCTCTTTCAAGACGACCTTGCAGCCCTGGATAGCTTCAGCTTCCCCTTC